GAGTCACAGAACTTATAGGTAGTCTCTATATAGTAAGGGAATTTATTATGATGATTTACAGTCTGTAGTCCAGCTCCCCAACAATGATCAGCTGTGTATGGAAGTCCAAGGATCCAATAGTTGTTCAGTCCCACAAGGCAAGCAGGTGAAGAAGAGCAAATCTTCCTTCTTCTAATATCCTTATGTAAGCCTCCAGAAGAAGGCGAGGCCCAGATTAAAGGTGTGTGCCATCACACCTGGATCTGGGACTTGCTTTGTCCCAAATGATCTTGAGCTCAGAGATCTCTTTGGTTAGTCTCCTGGGATTCATAGCCACTATGCCTCAAAATCTCCATGCCAATATCCAAGTCAGAAACTTGTATTTCCCAGCTTCAAGATCTGGATCACAGGTGAGCCTTCCAATTCTGGATTGTAGTTCATTCCAGATATAGTCAAGTTGACAACCAGGAATAGCCATTACATAACCACTTAATTTATCATTGAAATTGTTCCATTCTTGAAAGTAAAGAGAAGATTCATGTATAAATTACTGCAGGCCAATGTATCTAACCCAGCCAAAGTGTAACAATTGGGATAGTACAGTACACCATGAGAAATAATATGGAGTGGTTATCAACCCTAGATCAAAAGAGACAAAAAGGATAGACTATTTATAGATCCTGTCAATCCCCAAGATGAAAAGGCTCAAAGAAGAACCTGTGCCTCAGTGGATGAAAGTATCCCATCTATGGCTGCCCAACAGAAGAAGGGAGAGAACACAATTTCCCAGTTTGTTCTCATTCTTCTCTTTGATCTCCTCCTAATACTTCACTTTGGCCACATTCAATCAGAAGTGGGAGGTCAAGAGAGCCTGTTGGTCTTGTTCCCAGGGTGTAAAACAGGATAGCAAAGGGCAGAGGGAATTTACACAGAGGAAAAATGCAAGCTCTGCATCATAACTATATTTGCAAAGTATCTACACTCATCTATAACTCTTCTGGATCATTTTAAGTAGGTCGATCCTACAGTCTTCTTAAACCTCTGTTAATGACCCCTTCTATAGTGTAAAAACAACAGGGAAGTAAGGCAAGGCCTTATTTCCTCTACTAGCTAAAAGTGAAACTATACAGAGTTTCACAAGTATCACATGTTTACAAGGATTAAGTTTTCATGAATGTGTTGTGTCTCCATGCTCTGAGTCAAAACATCTTCCAACATTTCTCAGCTATGGGCTGATTATGAACTTTATCAGCAGTCTTAGTGTAAAAGTAAAATGAAAGGATTCTTGTCACATTGGCCATAGAAAGTTTCTCATTTCACTTTCTAGTCTTCCATATCCCGATGAGTCTAGAGGAACTTTGTGAATTCAATGGCTCAGGCCCATAAAGCTATTTGAACACCATGTATAATACAAACAAGTGAGCAAAGTGCACAGTCATCACAAACCATAGAGTATGTTGCCTGGTTACTATGCAAACGTGGGACCAATCAAAGAAGAGTACAAACAACAAAACAAAGGCTTGGAGCAATGGTTCAGCAATTAAGAGCACCCAGGCACTGCTCTTGCTGAGGACTTGGGTTCAGTTCCAAACATACACATGACAGCTCATAACAATCATTCATATCAGTTCCAGGGGATCCAACATCCTCTTCTAATTTTTGTGGCACAAGGAACATATATGGTACACATACATACATGTAGGCCGAACATCTACAGACATAAAATAAAAATATTTTTTTTTTAAAAAAAAAGAATGCTCACTTCAGAAAGCATATCCTTTCATTTGTGCATGAATGAATGAACACCGGGAGGCAAAGTGATTATGATTATGTAACTAGCAATTGAGGATCATACACACACACACACACACACACACACACACACACACACACACACCTTACCTTACCTTACTACCAGGACACAAAGAGAATCGTTATTCCAGGAAAGGTCCACTGTTAAACACAAAATGCTACCAAACTAAGGTTGGTGTCAGTCATCAACACTACTTACTACAAAGAAGGGAATCTCCAACAGTTTCTGCAATAAAAATCTGTCTGCTATCACTCCCATTTTGAAATTTGTGATTTCTATAATATAATATGGTTTAAGAATAAAGCAGAGTTTCCATAGAAATTTGGCTATCCCAAACTTAAACTGAGTTTTGTATGAAGAACGGACTGACTACTTTAAATATACTGGACCAACTAAGTATGGTGATATTTGGCTCAGAAAGCTCAGCAATTGAGGCTAGCCTGAGAAAGAACCACTTGAAAAATCAAAGAAAAGAGAGTTGAAAAAGATAGAGGAGAAAGAAGAGAGAAAAGAAAAATGAAATTTAGGACAAATTGAAGAAGCAAGGAAAAGAAGTAACTTTAGAAAGAGGGAGAAAAACAGACATGGTAGTTCACTCGGGTCATCCCTGTACTTACTAGGCTGTGGGAGGAGAATCCCCACAACTTTGAGGCCAACCTGGGATAAAGAGTGAGACACTGTGTTAAGTATATCTTTTTGAAAAGGAGGAAGAGAAAGAATGAGTAAACAAAGCACAAAGAATGAGAACTATTATTAATATAAGAAATAAAAATTAAGAAAGTAAGTGAATGTTTTTTCTAGTGAATGTGGGAGAAAGGATGGTTACAACATGGGTCATCTTCTGGCCTCCCCCATGGGTGAGAATATTGCCAAACTCCCTGAGTAGTCACACAGCTCCAATGACATCACTTCTATTTCCTACCAGAGAGGTGTCCCAGTCTTAATCCAACCAAGGATTTCCCAAACTGCACATGTAGATACTGTTCATGCCTTCAGCATTTAAATACATGGAGTAAGAAACACTCCATAGATTTAAATATATGTAAGCTCCTCAGCCCACAAGAATTTCCAAAAAGATGCCTTGGCCTGATGGTAACCCCAGATAAGCCTAAGTAGATTCCAAGAAGGTGGTGGAAATGAGCTACCAAAAGAAATCTGTGTAGCAAGCTTGTTTCAATGGGAAACATTCCTGCAGTGGCTATGGGGATATCGACAGGTCTAAGGAAGCTCAGTTCCCCCTTCATGTATGAGTAAGCTGTAGAACCCACTGTAGTCTGCCCTGTCCTTGGTGCTTTAAAACATGAATCACCCCGTTGTCTCAGCTGTCTTTTTCTCCAGTTCTAATAATGATTTTTCTATGCCCTCCCTAAACCTGCTCATGCCATCTCATCCCTTGATTCCATTCTTATCTTCAGAAGTTTTTGTTTGCCTGCTTGCTTTCTTGTTTTGTTTTGGGGTTTTCATTTTGGTGTTGTTATATTCACATAAATGCTTCAGAGAAGAGTAAATGAATACTAAACAAATCAATTATTACAGAACATGCACCAAAAAAGGGAGAGAGGGGGAGAGAGAGAGAGAAGAGGAGAGGAGAGGAGAGGAGAGGAGAGGAGAGGAGAGGAGAGGAGAGGAGA